TAGCACAAAATTCACAAGAAATTCGCCTCAAATCAAGAAATTTTGGAAAAAATAAAACGACACAACACGACAGACGACGACACAACACGACAAACGACGACACAACACGACAAACGACGACATTTCACTACATACGACGAAGATAGCACGAAATTCGCCTCAAATCACAAGAAATTTTGGAAAAAATAAAACGACACAACACGACAGACGACGACACAACACGACAAACGACGACACAACACGACAAACGACGACATTTCACTTTATACGACGAAGATAGCACGAAATTCGCCTCAAATCACAAGAAATTTTGGAAAAAATAAAACGACACAACACGACAGACGACGACACAACACGACAAACGACGACACAACACGACAAACGACGACATTTCACTACATACGACGAAGATAGCACAAAATTCACAAGAAATTCGCCTCAAATCACAAGAAATTTTGGAAAAATAAAACGACACAACACGACAGACGACGACACAACACGACAAACGACGACACAACACGACAAACGACGACATTTCACTACATACGACGAAGATAGCACGAAATTCGCCTCAAATCACAAGAAATTTTGGAAAAAATAAAACGACACAACACGACAGACGACGACACAACACGACAAACGACGACACAACACGACAAACGACGACATTTCACTACATACGACGAAGATAGCACAAAATTCACAAGAAATTCGCCTCAAATCACAAGAAATTTTGGAAAAATAAAACGACACAACACGACAGACGACGACACAACACGACAAACGACGACACAACACGACAAACGACGACATTTCACTACATACGACGAAGATAGCACAAAATTCACAAGAAATTCGCCTCAAATCAAGAAATTTTGGAAAAAATAAAACGACACAACACGACAGACGACGACACAACACGACAAACGACGACACAACACGACAAACGACGACATTTCACTTTATACGACGAAGATAGCACGAAATTCGCCTCAAATCACAAGAAATTTTGGAAAAAATAAAACGACACAACACGACAGACGACGACACAACACGACAAACGACGACACAACACGACAAACGACGACATTTCACTTTATACGACGAAGATAGCACGAAATTCGCCTCAAACCACAAGAAATTTTGGAAAAAATAAAACGACACAACACGACAGACGACGACACAACACGACAAACGACGACACAACACGACAAACGACGACATTTCACTACATACGACGAAGATAGCACGAAATTCGCGCTCAAATCAAGAAATTTTGGAAAAAATAAAACGACACAACGACAGACGACGACAAACTACGACATTTCACTACATACGACGAAGATAGCACGAAATTCGCGCTCAAATCACAAGAAATTTTGGAAAAAATAGAACGACACAACACGACAGACGACGACACAACACAAACGACGACATTTCACGACATTTCACTACATACGACGAAATTCGCCTCAAATCACAAGAAATTTTGGAAAAAATAAAACGACACAACGACAGACGACGACACAACACGACAAACGACGACACAACACGACAAACGACGACATTTCACTACATACGAAGAAGATGGCACGAAATTCGCCTCAAATCACAAGAAATTTTGGAAAAAATAAAACGACACAACACGACAGACGACGACACAACACGACAAACGACGACATTTCACTACATACGACGAAGATAGCACGAAATTCGCCTCAAATCACAAGAGATTTTGGAAAAAATAAAACGACACAACACGACAGACGACGACACAACACGACAAACGACGACATTTCACTACATACGACGAAATTCTCCTCAAATCACAAGAAATTTTGGAAAAAATAAAACGACACAACACGACAGACGACGACATAACACGACAAACGACGACACAACACGACAAACGACGACACAACACGACAAACGACGACACAACACGACAAACGACGACATTTCACTACATACGACGAAGATAGCACGAAATTCGCCTCAAATCACAAGAAATTTTGGAAAAAATAAAACGACACAACACGACAGACGACGACACAACACGACAAACAACGACATTTCACTACATACGACGAAATTCTCAAATCACAAGAAATTTTGGAAAAAATAAAACGACAACACGACAGACGACGACATAACACGACAAACGACGACACAACACGACAAACGACGACATTTCACTACATACGACGAAGATAGCACGAAATTCGCCTCAAATCACAAGAAATTTTGGAAAAAAATAAAACGACAACACGACGACACGACGACGACACAACACGACAAACGACGACATTCCACTACATACGACGAAGATAGCACGAAATTTGCCTCAAACCACAAGAAATTTTGGAAAAAATAAAACGACACAACACGACAGACGACGACACAACACGACAAACGACGACATTTCACTACATACGACGAAATTCGCCTCAAATCTGAAGAAATTTTTGAAAAAATAAAACGACAACACGACAGACGACGACACAACACGACAAACTACGACATTTCACTACATACGACGAAGATAGCACAAAATTCACAAGAAATTCGCCTCAAATCACAAGAAATTTTGGAAAAAATAAAACTACAACACGACAGACGACACAGCACGACAAACGACGACATTTCACTACATACGAAGATAGCACGAAATTCGCCTCAAATCAAGAAATTTTGGAAAAAATAAAACGACACAACACGACAGACGACGACACAACACGACAGACGACGACATTTCACTACATACGACGAAGATAGCACAATTCGCCTCAAATCACAAATTTTGGAAAAATAAAGACACAGGACTCTCCCCATACTCCCCACTCTCCCGCATACTCCCCCATACTCCCCAACTCTCCCTCACTCCTGCATTATCCCCCATACTCCCCCCCAGTATCCCCCTACTCTCCCCCACTATCCCCATACTCGACCCACTCCTGCAGTATCCCCCATATTCCCCTACTCCCCCAGTCTTGTAACTCTTTACTTCTGCGACGCAGAATTCTTGTAAATTTTGAGTCATCTTCGTCGCATGGAGTGAAAGGTCTTCATATTACTCTTCACTTACTGCTACTGTGAAAACCTTAATTTACGTTAATGACACTATCAGGCCGACTTCACGACAATGTGCCATGTATTTAACCCCTTCAACGTTCTTTACACATCTGTGCTGTTCACTCCCCCCTCCTCCCCCAATTTTGTTTCACTCTTTTCAAGATGCACATACGTAGTTAGATAACGTTTCACTGATGCTACCATCATTATCACTCCTATACCACACCAAGGGACACAGACATTAAAAGCACCAACATTTGACAAGAAAGACTAATACGATGAATTTGAAACCAAGTAAACAGCAATAAATATGGTTATAAAACTTATGTACAACTGACCTAAGAAAAATGTAACGGTTAGAAAAACGCGTCACTTTTCTTTACATTGACAACATAAGTACTGTCAAAGTAAAACACCAAGGTTCATGTTGCTCATATTTATTATATTCCACAAGATTGCATCTATTAATACCAAGTATTTAACACCACCTAGGTGAGGATTACGGTCGACAAAAATATTCCCTATAAACCAATTTGCGTCATTCAGTGTACAGCCTGTTTCACCAAAATGCTCTTTAGGAACAAGGTGATCAGTCAACACCACTTTAAACCCTTAGGAACAACCATTTTAACATTGACACTAACACTTCGTGGTTAAACTTTTACATCAAGAGGACTAAAGCCATTTGGGACATTCACACACTTCTTATCCAATATGAACACTTTATTAACAAACATTTTAAATTCTAGCCACTGTCACATACACTGGGCCTAGACAATGTTACAACAATAAACATGGCATTTTAGACAAACTGTGCATAGCCAGCCGTTAAAGAATACACAAACAGCTGTAAACATTAACGTCTATAATTAAGGGATATTTATTCCAATACGAACAACATTCATCGGACCCACATTGTTAATGTAGAAAACCAGCCGAACAATAGTCATAACGCCATACACCAGATATTAAACATAAGAGGGAACAGATTCTATAGTTCTAAGAACAGTTTCAAAGTACACAATACACAGATTTACAACTTATTTATTTTGCATCTTGCTTCCCAATTTTGCAGTCCGCTTCACCGGCCTTCTTACTGCTACAGCCACCCGTCTTCATCCATTTTCTATACTGCGTCTGTAAAGTTAAAATGTTTGCATTAATTTCAATATTCACTTTTCTACTTCTTGCCCTTCCAACAAGCTAGAGTAACTACACGCCAAACTATTTCCTACTACAAACTATTCTCTAACCACCATTCTACCACAAATCTACGATGTTCTGAAAATTATCGTTAGTAGTCACGTTTCCTCCCTTTATATTTTACACGTTTTCACTAAAAATGGCCCGTCAACCATACTTAATAATACCAACTTATACCATTTGACATTAAAACTGCTAAACACTTACCGTTATAGTCAACTGAAGAATATGTACATTCCTTCATTCTTCCTAACATTTACACTAACCAGTAAGAAACTGCAGTATTCTTGCAAACTCAACGTTCAATATTTCTAGTGGCAAATTCTAGTGGTGTAGAAGCAACGCCTTCCACAGTTCGTCACTCCCCCCCCCTGTTAACTATTCATAATGCCCTAAACTATTTTCACCGATCACTATTAGGTCCTCCCAATGAACGTCATGAACACTACCATTCATCCTTTACACTATCTTTGAATCATGCTGCTTCAAAGCTCATCTATCGATATTTCCCTACTAATTATGGTAGCCTATTCCATTAATTTCTATATTTTAACTGGCATTTTTACCGCCTCCTAAACCAAAGTCTCATAACTAGGATAAGTAAACTAGTTAATACCAACCGTTTCTAATGTCCCACAGATGCTCTTTCTATAATTCTGCAGAATATCCTTTCCAACAGTTTCCTGCTAATGATAAATATTAACTGAACGTTTTAACAACTTGCCTTTTCTTTCAGATATTCCTGCAACGTTGTCAGGCGCCGTGTTCAACACCGTCCAACCACCTCTATCGAGACTTTCAGCTACGTCACGTCAGAACTAGTTCCGTGCCTTGTGTGACCTTTGTGACTCCGTTCACAAAGTTATTTCTCAAGAAGACTCGTGGCCATTGTCGAGCCAGACCCTAGAAAAAATTAAGTTATTTATACCATTACAATGTTTTTATAAATTATCAAATTTATGAAAAAGTCTTAAGGTTAGTTTTGTTCAACAAATTATAATTTCTCTTGTATAACATTTTATACCCTCGTGTCTTTGTAATCTTTGATATATAGGGCAACACCAGGGTACAAACTTTAGTACTAAACCTTTTGCAATGAATTTAAATTCTTAAATCGATACATTCATCCTAATAGCTTTTAAGTTGCCATTCCAAACAATATTACCACGCATTCTAGCGACTACCGATACCATGACTGATTAACATTACGCCCCCATAAGACGTGGCATGTCTACTAGTAGCCCGTAAATTAGCGACATGCCAACACTTAATTACTTACAGAATTGACTGTCTGGGAAAACAATGTGATCCCAGACACGCAGATTTCTACGTTTACCAATTACGGCCCCACTGAATACATTAACTTTACTGAAAGCTTTACAATACAACTTTCGCACTACTGAAGAAACCACATGAACTACGAAAATTGCCCAAGTAGTGGGGGAGGGGTGGAAGGAAGATTTAATACAATACTAAAATAAAATTTTTCAATTTCTACCTAACCACAAACTACTGTACCTGAAAATTTGTTTATCTGCTGCAATGGACACTACAGATATCAAGACTGAAGAAATTCAAATCTGCATAACTTGCCAAATACCCGGTTTTAACCAAAGTAATTCGGATGAAATTGGTTCCGTGAATTACATAACAGGCGAGTGTGGACTTCTGTAAAAAAAAAAAAGTGGGTTTAATACCATTAAGTTTTAAAAGCATCAAGATTCATCGAAGCAGCCTAGTTCTGCGAGCCCGGGGGGGGGGGTGCTGTGGAAACACCCCCAGACCATTAAGCCACAGAAGATACCCATAAACTGCCACCAACTACTATCAACGCTACGCCAAAGGAATAAGCTGTACATTTAGTGCCTTGCAATATCTAGAAGCCATTTACAAATTTAAGTAATGTGACAGCTGGCTAAAATTTAGCAACAAATCCCCAAAATTCTGCAGCAAGTTTTATCTTACTCATTACTCTAATAATTATTGCATTTTAAACGGGCCACGTACTTAAATACCTTACGTACTGCCCAGATATTTAGACTTGCCCGTTCTAATGCAGATTTAAAAAAAAAAAAAAAAAAAAAAAAAAAAAAAAAAAAAAAAAAAAAAAATTGTGGACCAGCCACTTAATGCTGTACGGCTAAATCTTAAACGAAGCTAATTATTAATACTATTGTTAGGATACGTCAACTAGGTTTCCATGTAAATAACTTTACCAATTCTATCATACGCCACCCAAATATCACCGTCCCTCTGAAGGCATCACAGATAACAGAGCCCACATTACGCTACGCCAACAACCAGGTCACACCATAATTAAATATCGACACCTGCACCTTATATGAGTTAATACATTGAGCAATAAAGTCCACGGTAACCTTACCTGATGGCCGGTGTAGCTGCAAATGATGTAAGAAGCGGGACACCTCCCAAGGAACTACGTCTGCTGGCTGTCAGCCCGACACTGAGGCGGCGCCGGCCGCTCCTGACCTTCTTGCCTAACACAGCGTCATTGGTGACGTCACAGTGCTTAACGACCATATCCTCGTGCTGTGCTAGTTAATGTATATGTTTATCTCTCAGAATGTTCGGTAATACGTTTATTGCTTGTGATGTGTGTCTATGTATGTAGTAACACGATGTACTGAACGGGGTGAGAATAGCTTGAGCTACCTCATCCCTTTGTGTGTATTTTACCTCAATAAACTTATTTCAATTTCAATTTCTCGTGCTGTGCTAGTTTGCGCTCCAATGTTTTACATCCCGTTAGTTACTTTTAATCAGTAATATTATAATTTAATGTAATATGTAATATACTGATTTACTTTAATCAGTATATTATAAATCAAAACAGCGGTTAAAAGCTTTCGAGATTCATAAATAATGGATTCAGGAACTCGTCCCGTGGTCTACATACAGCCTATAGTAATTTTCGCCATTTTAATACTATATTAGCAATGTCAGACTGATTATTTTTAATAGAAACACAAGAAAAGATGCCAGTATTTTTGATTGGCACTGTGTGTTAAGATTTCCTTAGATAAGAATATTCCTTAACAATTTAGAGAGACTTGCAGTTTTAATTCTTTATAAAATGATATGCTGAAATTTGGTTTAGAAACTAATTAATGTCTTAAGTGCTCTTCGTCAGTCCTAATCAAGGCTAATATACTTTGAATACAGTAACAATGCAAGCCATAATTTCAACATTGTCAGAGGCTGTCATAAGGTGCAGATGTTTACTGGGAAAAACTGTAAAACAGATAATACATAAAAACATGTATATACATTATGTCCAAACCTATGTACAGTGTTTTATAATCATAAATATCTTGAAATTTATGTTATTTTGGCCATTTGTAATATTCTCTTATTCTGCCTTTCACAAATTAGTGTGATAAATTTGAAATCATAATCTACAATATGTATTTGTTATTGACCTATAAATCTTTGCTAACAATTTATAAAGGAATCTGGAAAACACCTTATAATTACTGATGGACTACCCGTTGTGCTGTGAATCTCGCAGACATTACCTTTCCACTGCTCTCCTCAGCCGATGTTGTCGCTTTGTGTTAGATCACTCGCCCCCTCTTTGCACTCCCAGTTGACACTCTAAAATCTTTGGCTCTTGCATCCTTGAAGGTGAAGTCTAGACTCCAACCCTAAAGGCACCTTGCCCTCAAGCTCTACCCCTTCCTAGTCCCACAATCGTCGTCGCCCCTAAATTAACAAATGCATCCTTTCCTGGGTCTACAACCAATTGACTGAACATAATGGGCTGTGTTGCACCACACAACTTCCCCCATGCTCGAGTGGGGGAGTTGTGTATATTGACATAGCTCGAGTGCATGGGGGGAGTTGTGTAAAACCCTGGTTTGTGTCTCGGAGAGGCTGCAGGATCCAAGTAAGTTCAGTAGAACTTCTGGTTTCAACTCTTTTTTTTTTTTACCATGTCATAGCTCAGTCGATTAAGGCAGCGTCTGGGATGCTCTCGGACGTAGGTTCGAATCCTCGTCACGGCCCTTGTGGATTTGTTCACCAATATATAAAAATGGTTAAGTTCCCAAAGTTACTGGTGCTAGTTGAATAATCTCCTACAGAGTTAATTAGCCTAAGTTTTAAAAGTAACTGGGAGGAGTGGTGGCTGCATTTGTTAAACAAGTAACCTTATTAACTATCCAGACTGTAATTGACTGCAGAGATATCTTTAACACCTTGGTCATCTCTCCCACTTTCCCGTGAAAGTGGGTTGATCACAAATGCTCAACTGGGTTGAGCATTTGTGAGGGCGAACTCTTTCCAGTTTTTATGGGGTTAAAAATACAATTACAGTATTACAGTCTTAGGGTTACAAATAGCAACCGTTACAATGGTAGAATCAGTTGTTACATGACCATCCTCTATCAAGTTAATAAGAAGTATTAACTGATTAGTTGTACATTTGGGAAATGTGATTGGTTTATTAATCTTACATAACCTATATCATTATCTACACAAGCTAATGAGAGTGTGAGGCAAGTATATTATATAGTAAATATACTTGCTACATATCCAAGCATGGAGACATCATCTTCAGAAAGATATAGCCATTTTGGAGAATGTTCTGGAATGACTTTTATTGCCTGGAGTTGAACTAAGTCAACTTTCAAACCAGGAATGGTTGAGGGCCACACGGTCAACAATACTGCAAACCAGACATTAGGCACATCTCGGCAAATTAGTTATTTTTTGTTAATATTGAAAAATTTGGTGGATCCAGACAATTTTTTAAAAAAGGTCAGATGTAACACAAACAAGGAGCAATGGTTTTAAGCTCAACAAGCCACAATGTGGGACTGAAAACAGGAGCAGCTGCAGGTTTTTCACCCACAGGGTTGTAAAACAGGTGGTGTGGGAGGGGAATGTTCCAAAGTAGGATCAATAGTCTACTCAAAAAGACTATTGAGTAGTCTAAATCATAGACTACTCAATAGTCTATGATTTATCATATGAAATCATATCCACCATGACCACATTTGCTTCAAGTGCAGTTATCTAAATCACTCCTATGTGGTAGCTAAACACCGAAATGCTAGAATACACAGTGTGATTGTAACTTGCGTAGCTTATTGTGGGGTTCAGTCCCCGAGCCCATTACGTGCTTCTATAACCCTTTCCAATACCGCCCACAAGATGGGTATGGGGTGCATAATAAATGAACTAAATAAAAAACTGATGATCCTTTTGAAACTTCAAGTTCCCTTTTAGCGGCCCAGATGTGAAACCACTCTGCCGAATACACAGCCCTTTCCTGAACCATCTAATCTCCATCAGTCATAAAGGTAGTCGCCTAGCTATATTAAACTTTGTGATTGTTATAGATTCAGCTACTCAGAACAAGTTCCAAGTAGCACGGGCTATGGTGAGCCTGTAGTAGACTTACCTGGCACAGGAGCGGTGTTATCTAAACTTTTTGTGGCTTAGCTTCACAATTTATATCTTTGTACCGCCTGGCAGGCGTACGACCGACATGGTTCTTTAGTACAAATACTTTGAAAAGAGTCAAGATTCCCAAAGATTCACCGTGCCATTCTTTACAGACTTGTGACATTTTTTCTCAGTCTTTATTCCAACACCTCAAATATTACAACAACGGCATACTCCAAGGCCGCTCCAAGCAACAGCCTAGTGGACCAAACTCTCACAAGTCAAGCCTGGCCTCGGGCCGGGCTTGGGGAGTAGAACAACTCCCAGAACCCCATCAACCAGGTATCAACCAACCAGGCATAAACTGTCTGCAGGAGAAACCGACCACAATGTTTTCACAACACCAAATTACAGTTGTATGGACCCATCCACAACTGATCAACCCCATCAACTTGTTGGCCGCAAACAGCCGCTCCTTCAAGATTTTTATCAAATATTTCATGAACTACTCTTAAGACATTAGGGGGCTATTCATGCCAAAGACTGTACCTCTCTCAACCAGTTTAAGATAAAAACTAAAAACTACCTAATGAACTCCATGTAACCTACCTTACCCCCTAAATGTCAACCCATGTCTTATTATTGTAATCAATGCTGTTTGATTACAATAACTTGTATAATTGCTTGTATAATTATACAAGACCAACTTGTATAATTGCTATTCTCTGCCTTGTCCCCCCCCCCCTTTTTTATTTTTAATATTTTTTTCAACGCAATTTATACTTTAAGCTCAATTACTATTAAGTTTTAATCTAAGTGTTCCCCCCCCCCTCACCTTGCCCGAAACGCTATGCGTACTAGTGACTTTAGGTATTGTATGTAGTATCTCTGTCTTTAAATCTATCATTATGTATGCACCTTTATCTGAATAAAGAATCTGATTATATATATTATATGTTAAATATGGCCGAAAAGGTAAGATTAATAATTCTAACGAATTTTCTCAATATATCTTATGTTTCTTTTCACTGTCGATGGTAATTGAAAAATCAAGTCTCCAAAATTCATTTTTATTTCTAGTCTGACGCGACGCCTGAACGCGTTTCGTAATAACCGATTACATTTTCAAAGACTTTAGTTTACACACACAACTGTAACTTGTAAACACGCAAATTCGTCCAAACTTATACTCGTGGGTGAGGTGATATGGTACAACATGGTAGAATATACCTCTTTGCCTTCCCTGCCAAACACTGAACAGCAATTGGAACTTTTGGCTAGGCTTGTCCAACTAGCGGTTCACCACCGAGACTCGTTCATCAATTTTATTAACGTACTGCGATTTCAAAATTTGTATTTTATCATATATAAGTTAATATTATTACATACTAGAATATACCGAGTAGTTAGGCTTGGTGGTTATAGGTTCTGTCGGCAATTATTCGTATTCAACACGTTCTCAGGCCAGGCTGGCTGGAGTGACAACTCCCCCAAAAACACGCATTATTCAGTTTTATTTCTGGATCTACCCATGTTAAAAAAAAACTTCTACACTTAAAAGCACAGTTCAAGTTCAAGTATGTTTATTGAGACAAGAAAGATATACATTTCAAAGGGATAGAGTAGCTTAGGCTATTTCTACCCCCCTTAAAACGGATAAGGATAAGCACAATTATCATACATGTAGCTCATGAACATAATGTAATTCATGCTCATGAATATTTTTATTTTTACATGCAAGCATGCTTATAGTACAATAAAAGTAAACAAATACAACATAGAACAGAACAAAATGACAAAGTACAAACGTGCAGTGTGTTGGCCTCCAGTCAGAAGACTCGCGGGAACAACTCTCCAGGAGGAAATAATGACATGGTGTACAGGAGACCAGGTATTTGCAACACGAGGTCTACACCAGGCTTGTACAGTACCTAGATCAATCTGATTTCTGGAGCATGCAGGTCTGTTAGGTTTGTGCAACATCCAGGTCTATATTGGGCTTGTACAAAATGCAGGTCTATATCAAGTTTGTACTTGATATACTGGAGCAAGTCCCTGGGGGGGACAGCTTTTTACAGTGACTGATCAGGATTTTACTTTGTTGACACACACTGGGTTTCGTTTGATTAAAGAGCCTTCTTCCTACTTTGCCAACACAGTAATTCCTTTTGTGCATATTTTGTATGCAATAACACCATGGTCACACTTACCAAAGGCTTTCATGATGTGTGTATGTTACATCCACATTTTTGCTTTTCTTCCATGGTAGTTATGACCATGTCCTAGTGGTCTAGCAATTGTAAGACAGTAGCACCCTATTTTGAACCCATGTGGTCTAGGTTAATGAGGAGATTAATTCCATGTGTTTTGTGATCTTACTTCTTGGCACACTTTGATTTTTACAATGTTGGTACTATTTTGGCTGGTACTATTTTCTTGGTACTATTTTGGCTGGTACTTTTTCTAATAGTTGGTACTATTAGTTCAGAATATTTTGCCGCTGCTTTATTTCCTCCTCTGCGTAGTGGCACATCTCCACATTTTTTAATATGTTGGGGATAACACCAGTAACTAAGATACTTCTCCAAATAATTTCAAGGGCATGTGATTGTGGTTTTTTGCAATTCTTGATGAATATGGAATTCCAGGACTTAGTGCCTGGTACAGTGCATGGGCATATTGCCTATATCTATGTCAAGTCTTGTGTGGTTAGCCATCACCATCATACCTGATTATGATTTGATGGTTGGTAGTACATTTATGAAGAATTTGTTTGGATTATTGATCTTCAGTGTGTTCAAGGGTTCACTGACAACAGTCGTACTCTATCCTCAATATTTCACTCATTTCTTGATTGCCATTGTAAAAGTTCATCTCTTTTTGTACAGGGGCCCAAAGCTAGCTGTAGTTTTTGTACTAGATTTTGCATTCCTCTCTATTTCACTGATGGCATTTTGCACTCTGCTTCTCCTAGATTTTATGATTCTTGCAACTTTAGCTCAGTCATTTCTATTTTGCGACATCACTTTTCTTATTGGTCTTATGGAAGGGGTATTCAAGTTCTGCAATTTGTTTTCTTCACCTATATTGGGAATGGCATTCTTCTTTCAATTTGCATCTTTTTTCTCTTATCTTAGTGGTGTAGTTTGGTCATCAGACATCAGATGAAGAAACGATGATGTTTTGGTCCGTCCTGGACCATTATTCATCTTCTGATATGTGGTTTGGTCATCATATCTTCAGCCACATCAGTTCGTGTCTACGAAGTGATGTGGACTTTGATTCCTGAACATAATTGTGACTCATTGTCTGCTTAGTGGTACCTGCTTGATGGGGTTCTGGGAGTTCTTCTACTCCCCAAGCCTGGCCCGCAGCCAAGCTTGACTTGTGAGAGTTTGGTCCACCAGGCTGTTGCTTGGAGCGGCCCGCAGGCCCACATACCCCACCACAGCCCGGTTGGTCCTGGTATGTGGCTTGAGCATATTTATAGGGCTACTCTGCATATTTTCTCAAGGCACTGATTTAGATTAGCATTTTCTAGCTGTTCTGTTTTATTTCTGTAAGATCTTAGTTTATTATAGCTAATCTGTTCAAATGAACAAATCCACTAGGGCCGTGACGAGGATTCGAACCTACGTCCGAGATCATCCCAGAAGCTGCCTTAATCGGCTGAGCTATGACATGGTCCAAAGAGTTGAAACCAGAAGTTGTACCTAACTTACTTGGATTCTGTAAGATAAAGGTAGCATCTGGGATGATCTCGGACGTAGGTTCGAATCCTCATCCCCTTGTGGCTTTGTTCATTTGATGCATCATGCTATTGTGATTTGTGTGTGTAATCTGTTCAAGATTTAATTTGCTGAGTTATCCTCTTTGATGTTTATCTGAACTTAGATTTGATGAACTCTTTGATCTGACAAATATGGTATTTGTAAGACAAGGCTAAGAGGACTGGTAGTGGTGGAGGATGGTCTTTCCTCATGGGTCCTGTGTGCATTTTGGAGGTTTTGTATATTTGTATTAGTGTACTTGTTCACAAATGAAATAAATAAAATACCAAAAAAAGTATAGTAATTTTATATGAACAAAAATGGTTATATAAGTTACATAACATTGAAATGCACAAATAATTTGTTAATAAAACAAATGCACTGCTTGTACGAATTCAGTGGTTCCCAAAATCTTTACTGTCATTACCCCTTTTTCATATAACGTCCTTATTAATGGCCCCCTACACTCTTTAAACAAAGGCCCCTCCAGTACCCTCTATCATAACCTGTACACTTGACTCAACTTATGGCCCACTATATATTGTAAAAAGACTCCCCCCCCCCCTCAAGGGGGCCATGGTCCCCAGTTTGGGAACCAGTGGCCTACATATAAAAGTTTATAACGTTCCATTGTCAGGCATTCCTAATGCATGATATGTTGGTCCATTTGTTATGCAAACAACATTGTCAACATGGGTTTTCTATATGCATGCCCAAAGAAGTGTATAAACTGATCAAAAGTATGCTCTGCCCTGCTCGAGGCAGCACATACTTGTTGTGTAAAATGAATGACTGAAATATTTAAGTCATCAGTGTGAGCTGCATACATGTCAGGGTGTTCACTAGCTTCCTGCAGCCACACAGCTGAGAGGTTCAGTTGCCTGTGGGCATTTATAGTGGCAAGTATCTCTCTCTATATATCTCTCTCTCTATATATCTCTCTATATCTATCTCTCTCTATATATCTCTCTCTCTCTCTCTCTCTCTCGAACACAACTTGCCACTATAAATGCCCACAGGCAACTGAACCTCTCAGCTGTGTGGCTGCAGGAAGCTAGTGAACACCCTGACATGTATGCAGCTCACACTGATGACTCAAATATTTCACAGTCATTCATTTTACACAACAAGTATGTGCTGCCTCGAGCAGGGCAGAGCATACTTTTGATCAGTTTATACACTTCTTTGGGCATGCATATAGAAAACCCATGTTGACAATGTTGTTTGCATAACAAATGGACCAACATATCATGTACTGTACTGTATTAGGAATACCTGACAGACCAATGGAACATTAACAATTGGGTTATTACAAGCCAAATATGATTTGCGCTAAATCTCGGTTGAAACGTTTTTAAGCACATTCATCAATCTTACAGAAGCCAACATACAAGTCATAAATACTCATCCACTACCCAAGTAACACAGAAATAATTAACACTTAGTGGGCCAACCAGAGGCTTTGGGCCTGCTATAGGATATTCCTGCATTAAAAAGCAATAAAGTTTGTTTTTCAGAACTAACTTTATTGTGGATAATTTGATATTCCTATCATCCCCGTTCATCCATTGGGTATATATGAATATCTGCATTTTATCTGTAGGCTTCAAAAAGATTATACAGTATTGTAAATTGCTTACCTACTTTGCATAGTATCATTAATATAAAATTAATATACAAAAGTCACTCTGCACGCTGGAGTAGTTAATGCTAGCGTGGTTTATCTTAAGCACTTTCACGTTTACGTGAAATCTTCCTGTTCTTGGCTTCAAAGTTCTTTGGAGGCGGTTGGCTTCCACCACCCATGTGTTTCTGGTAAAGACTAGAAATAAAAAATGTATTAATGCATAATAAAGTAAATTTGAAACGTTTTTGATATGCAAGATAAAAGGGAGATTCTTACTTGCTGAAACTAGCTTAACACAGAACAGTATTAAAAAAAAATTAGCTATAAATATGGCTGGATCACCACCAAAACAGAACGTGCCTATTGGATACCGAGAAAGGTATCCCCAGAACAGCCCATGGACAGCTAGAGTAATGAATACAAGGGTTGCAATCATTACATTCCAGTAATGCTGGGAGAAGAGGGTGTGTGTAGGAGATAACATATTATAATGGGTATGTGCTTACCTAATGTTGTAAGAATGCCATGCTCTTATGCCATGCCTTATAACAATACCTGGTCCATATATTTATATACAGTATATACTCCAATTCTCTGGTCTATTCTATACTCTTAAAGCTGTGAATGGAGGTGGATTCCCCATCTGTTTCTAATTCATACCACTTGTATTTCAGTATAAGGAGAAAGAGATGCAAAAAAATGTAAAGGAACACTGCTATAGAGGCCCTCTGAAGTGCCATTTGAAAACGGCATTTTGACAAAAGCAAAGAACCTACCTTTAAAAAAAAAAAAAAAGATATAATTCATAAAATACTTAAAAATATTACTCACAACTTGTAAGACTCATTCCGCAGTAGGTCCATGACATGTGACTGGCCAAGGAGAAGCTGGTCGGCTATCATGGGCAACCAAGGGTTACTCTCCAAACGAAGGCAGCACCGATTTCCCAGCAAATCCAACTGACCTATGAGCATTAACATTAATGAACATAAAGGAAATGTTGTCAGTAAAACAACTGTTCCACATTAATTTTACTATGCTGCTTTTAATAGCTTCTATTCTGTACAGTATTTCAAAATGTTAATCTCTAGTTTATATTTGTTTTGAAGCTTTTTATCATCTGTTAACAATGCAAACAATGAGTTTACACAATAAGCAATGGAAAACTTACCAATTTCAGGTGGAAGGACCTGCAATCTGTTGCCCTGTACATGCAATTCCCGTAAGCGTGTCAGCTCCCCAATTTCACGAGGCAAAGCAATCAAATCATTATCTCGTAGACTCAACTGAAAATATTAGCTAATTATAATCTTTATAAATTAAAGTCAAGGACAATAGTAATATTTTCTGTTTACACAAAATAAGATACCATATCAAATTTAATTTTTCAATGAAATATACATTTATAATAACTGCTCTGTTATTAATACAGCAAACACTAGAACTATACCAGGATCAGTAGGCAGGCCTTATCCCTCTCTAAAAACCATACTTTGTCTCTGTAACAAAGCCCACTCCAGATATTCCACTATTTTGTATATGATTGTCCTCTCCAGCAATTACCATAGAATCAGTGAGTTTGCATGTGGTATAAGTAATTATCAAAAGAAGGTACCAAGCTGGGGAGACTATGTAGCAGTTTTGCTGGATACTCAAAAGGCGCTACAAATCAATGAGGATGCTAATACAAGAACAAAATGCACACAGCCAGCGATATCCAAGGTATTAGATTGACTAAGGATTCTATCATGGAACAAATGACCATGAGGGACATTTGAGATGCAAGTAATTATCAAAGCTTGGTGGCAAGCCAGGGGGGGGGGGACTATGTAGCACCATCAAATGTGCAGGATATTCAAAAGGCATTAAATATCACTAAGGATGCCAATACTAGAACAAAAAAAATCAACCCCAAAAGTTTAGCAGAATCTTAATATGGAAGGGGACTACTATTGAGTGACAATGGGGGGATCAAAAACTCTTTTCCTCATAGTAAAAGTCAGCATAAGTCTTAGTCGTGGAGAACTTGAAGTCATGAATGGTGGCCCAGGATGACAGCATCAATTGCACATTGAAGCTAGCATGGGAGGAATGGGGTCATCCCCGCAACAGCAGAATGAGATCATCAGCATAAAGGGCAGAGAAAATGTAAGAGGGAAGTAGGGAAATAAGATTATGGGCAACAAACAAGAGTAGTGCTCAGAACACTACCCTGGGAAATGCCTTCAAATTGGTAAAAAGTGGCACCAAGTCTCACTTTAAAGGAAGAATAAGGGGAAACTATGAAGAAAGAGGGGGGGAAGATTGCCAAGAAGGCCAAAAGAACGAAGTTGGGACAAAATATTGTACCTCCAGGTGGTGTCATAAGCCTTGTCCATGTCCAAAAAAAAAAAAAAAAAGCAAAGGCAGAACGAATGTAGACCTCTAGGTCAACTAAAGCATCAGTCATGCAAGGACACTTGTAAAATCTAAATTGAGAGGGAAAGAGTTAGTGAGTGTTCTAAGAACCACACAAGATGTACACTGACTATACATTTGAGAAACTTGCAGATGCAACCCGTCAGGGCAAGGAGACAAAAATCCTTAGGAGAGGTCTCTTGGTTTCCAATTAGGAAGAACAACTGCTTCAAGCCAGTCTTCGGGGACTGATGTCTTCCAAATAAGATTATATATACACCAGTATTCAGTAAATAGCCAGGAAGTACAGGACAAGGCGTCATCTACCTCAGGCACTTTGAGAGAGATGGTGAAGCACCTCTTAATGAATGCCATCCAAGCCCATCACCATAAAACCATTAAGCCGAGGCTAGCAAACGCAAAACGACGCATCCATCCATAAGCCACTTGCCTGAACAGCCAAGCCTCCTGCAGGACATAACTGCAAGCGATCATGAAGACCCCATTCATCCACAGATTTACAGTATTAGCTATTGGTACTAGCTCCAAACAGCCTCCACTTACGGGATATTCATGTCCATGCCACCTCTTGGGTGGCTTGATCTCAATCACCATAAAATCACAGAGTGACAGGGCAGATTGTAATTTCAATATGTACTGACAAGCAATTGTTATAGGAGAGTATAAAACATCAAGAATAAGGCTTATGAATAAGGAAATTAGGAAGGAAGGTGAGCACTGGAGGTAACAGCTAAAAAGTGTGAACTCAGTTCATTCGTGACCAACTCGAGATCTGTCACACCAGAACGATGGACACACATTTATTCACATCACTCAAAAAGCTATTTTCTTTCTATTTTATTTCACATACTCACCTAACTGTGCTTGCGGGGGTTGAGCTTTGGCTCTTTGGTCCCGCCTCTCAACTGATGTACAGATTCCTTAGCCTACTGGGCTCTGTCATATCTACATTTGAAACTGTGTATGGAGTCAGCCTCCACCATATCACTTCCTAGTGCATTCCATTTACTAACTACTCTGACACTGAAAAAGTTCTTTCTAATGTCTCTGTGGCTCATTTGGGTACTTAGCTTCCAATACTCAATACTGAATACATATCTATGTACAGTAAGCAAACACAGTATTATATTTGAATATTTATATATATTCAGACTTGGAGCATTACCCAGGTCTGTCTATCTCCCTTCTCTCTCTATCTCCTGTCTCTACCTATCTTTCTAGCTATCTCTTCATCCTCTCCCATTTTCCCCCCTCCTACATATATCTGATACTGTACCCCATACACTAAGCTTTCTCTTACAGCAACTTACAATTTGCAGATTCTTCATATTTTTTATCTCTGGCGATAGAACTTCAAAGTCATTGTCACCCATGTAGAGAGCTCTCAGAGATTCTGAAATACAGTAAACAAGAAAATTTATTGAAATTTTCAACTTACATTTTCCAAGTTTCAACATTTATTGAAACATTCTAGGGCCAGGATCTACCTAGGACACTGCTCGTACGCGAAGTTCTCGTTGACTTTCAGCCCCACCATGACAAGGCACTTGGGAATTAGTGCTGCCACATAATAAAGGAGCAGCAAAACAGTGGGGTAAAAAGTTGATTAAAGCCTGGCATGTGAGCAATGTCCTAGGTGAGCTATGTGGGCCTGGCTTGGGAAGCCACTGAAGCCCTTCTCAGAAACCTCTCATTTCTTTACAGCAAAGTTTTGTAGAAAAATAGTTTCCTTATGAAGTAAGAGTGTAAGACAAATTTAACTCAAGCTTTTGTCCTGTATTAGGCATTAGGTACCAGCATTAGGCATTGGGTACCAGCTCAATACTATACAGTATATGAAAATTAAATTATTTGATTACTTAAAGCTTATCTTTAGCCCTACTAATTCAACAGTAATAATCTTACCAAGCATAAAAAAGTTCCCAGGAAGTGCCTCTCCTTCAGCAATGTTGTTGTATGTGATATCTAAGACCTCTAGCACGGGAAAGGAACCAAAACCTCGAGGAAGTGCATCCAAGCGGTTCATTCTTAAAAGTATTATTATAAGTACAGTATAGTAACTCTATAGTTGTGTGTATTCAATCTTATACAGCATTTTAAATAATTCTACACAGCTATACTTTTTTTAAAGCTATATTTTGCTCTGTGCTACAGAAAAAGTAGATAAAACGATTTAGGAAGAATTACAAAAGGTAGAATTGTGACTTATGGATATAAAGAAAACTTCATATTACAACATGGAATTAATCAAATAAGTCTAAAATCCAGGCAGTTGAAATGATCTAAGACAGTTATGTGGTTCAAGTAGGTGGAGAGGAATGTATGATGGGTTACAGCTGAATGTGACTGGTCAGAGAAGTCAGATGTGTCATAGAAGGATGGGGGCAAGAAGAATACTATGATGGTGTGGGCATCAGGAGAAAATAACTGATGTAAAGTCTGGATGGAAGGGAAGGGAACAATCAGGGAAAAAGCACCAAGCCATTATGACTATATAGCCCTAGGAAGGGATCAGGATAAGGATTTGGGATGGGACGGGGGGAAGGAATGGTGCCCAACTACTTGGACGGTCGGGAATTGAACGCAGACCTGCACGAAGCGAGACTGTCGCTCTACCGTCCAGCCCAAGTGGTTGTACAAGTCTGGATGGAAGATATACAAAAGTTAAGTACATGGAGTAGTAAATCTAACTTGCATTAAAGAAAAGTGGAGGGTTATGATGACACCGGGTAGAGAACAAGAGCAGACGATCATGGTTTACATTGGAGCTGCCTAAAGATTATTCTGATAACCACCACAAAGGAGGGAAGTTCCCAGGTGAAAATACACAGAATAAATTTTAAATGAAGTGCGTAAATAATTTGCATTTATTTAGATTTGTATTTACAAAATTTAAAAGCCAACAGTTAGGTAATGTTCTTGACATACCCAACATTGAGAATGCGGAGTTTGTTGAGAGAAGAGATTGAGGTCGGTAGCTCCTCAATGACATTGTTGAAAAGGTTCAGGATTTCTAAATTGATGAGATTAGCAATAGCAGGAGGCACCCTTGTAAGGCGGTTGTGTGGCAGAGAGAGGCGGGTGATGTTCTCCAAGGTTACTGCAACAAAGTGACATGAAATCAGCCAACCAAATAGTAAAGGGAATCAACCAAATAGTGAAGGAAAAACTAGGCATAATAAAACTATTCTTAGTCTAAATGAAGATAACCTCTCCTATTACAAGCTTATTGTGTTGTCAAAATATTTTGATACAGTATCTAATTCGTACATTTTCACCTCTAACCATTACTGTATGAGCTTGAACTTACTGACCTAAATTACCAATATGAAATGCTCATATAGTTTGAGAAAGCACACATTTTCAGAGCTTTTATTTACATTAAACAAACTCAATTTGTGCTTGTATCCATAGCATGCACATACATGTACTAAGTGTGAGAATAGACTGCATACACTAACAAAGCTAAGCTATCTTAGCATAAAATTAAAATAATAAATTCTTATATACCGAATTAAATTAAAGAGTTATCTTCTCCTAGCCTAAACTAGTAGTTAATCTCTCCCAGCATATATCAATTGAGTTAATTCTTGACTTAATTCTTGAGGAGAGGATTAACTTTTCCTATCATACATTAATAAGGTCAACCTTTGTCTAAACATAAAACCTAGCTAAAGCTTGAATACTGTATATGGCAAATACTAAGCACAGAGTAACCAAATTTGCTCAAGACCAACCCAGTTGACAGTTTGGTACTGTACAATAAAGTCTAATAATACATTATAAAGCCTAAAATACAAACAATAAAAATATACTTTTAAAGTCCAATGTAGGGGAAACCTAGCAAGAAATCTCTTGACATACAAATGTGCACAGTGTACTCTTGAACCACAATACAACATGAACAACTGTACTTTTGAATACAGTAGTACTGTATATATCTATACACACATTACACATCAGTATAAGGAGTTCATAATTATTGTTTAACCCTTAAACTGTGCAACACATCATATGACGTGTTGAGTAACTCACGCAAAATTGCGCATCACATCATATGATGTGTTGGAATACTATGCAAGATTTAAACGGCCCGCGGATACACGGGGTTCACCTCACCTTCATCAGGTGTCTTGCAAACAGACGCCTTTTTTTTTTTTTTTAAATCGTGGGCCACATTCCCGGGTGTGAGGGCCTCAGTACAGTACTGAGTGAGCCACCAAGGCTGGCGCACACAGCATGAGCTCACAGCACTGCTGTTCAGCTTGTGACCACAGCATCGCCTAAAAATGCCATAATATATATGTACATGCTATTATTTTGCGATAATAGTACTGTATTACAGAAGACCCCTGACTGTGATAAAAATGACCAGGATTTTTATAATAGCAGGATTGTTGTGATAATTAGCGCTGTAGTGGGAGGAGTAATCTTGGTGGGGAGGGGGGTAATGTTGTCTGCTGACTCTGTGTGACCACCTTTTATTGTCTGGACTCACTATACCACCTTAGTTGTTCGCTATGGTGAATGAAACATGCAGATACTTACATATAACGTCTGTATATAGTGAATAAAACCAAAAACAGTATGGTGGGAGGAGAATGTTGGCGAGTCAGGTGAGGTGAGGCAGGGAGGGAGGGAGTGACAGCCAGTGGCAGCATGGCTGCCACTGCCACTCAGCATACCAACTTAGTGGTTCGTTATGGTGAACACAAATGTAGATACTTATATATAACGTGTACATATAGTGTAATAACAGCAAAAGGAGTGTTGGGAGAAGCCATTTTGGTGAGGGAAGTAGCAACATGTGACAAAGGCCAATTAGCCTGTGGGTGGCAAAGGCCAATTAGCCCTTAGCAACACAAGCGTTAAAGGACCAAGAGGGTACCGCCACATGGTTGGAATATACTGCTTAGTTTTCTGCTGCTATTTACATCATCCTGAACAAGGGCACTGTACATTCTGTGGAAACCAGTTTTTTAGATAAAGGCTTTAAATTGATGCCAGAGGTGGAGTGTTGCCGATATACATCAATACTATTATTACTTCTGATAAGCAGAACAACTACAGCATTCTATATACAGTACTATATATATTATATATATATATATATAACCTACACACCTACGTGTGTGTAGGTTGCCTACACACACGACACCGAGCTGTCCACATACTGATTTAATTACATACCGAGTTGCCTACATACTGAGCTACCTAGATAGTGAGCCGCCTATGTACAGTATCAAAATGCCTACATACCGAGTTTCCTGCGTGTTCATTTCTCTACACATGTATCAGTGCCTTGATATAGCCTACTGTTTTATTCCCAACACATTAATTGTGTGGAGTGGGGTGCCACACACACACAACAAAGGTGTGTGGGGCAGTGTCCCTCACACACACAATACAGGTGTGTGGGGCAGGGTGCCACACACACAATACAGGTGTGTGGGGCGGGGTGCCACACACAACACAGGTGTGTGGGGACAGTGTGCGACACACACAACACAGGTGTGTGGGGCAGGGTGCCACACACAATACAGGTGTGTGGGGGCGGGGTGCCACTCCTAGACTACTCACACAAGCCAGGGATCTCCTCTAAGGACGTGATCTGCTTATCCTGAAGGTCCAGCTCGGGGTTCCCCGTCTCCCGGGCCTCTTCTAGCACCTTCCTCACCGACTTGGACATCTTAAGGCACTTGCTCCTCCCTGAGGCACTCCCACAACAACTTGGAGACACTTCCTGGGGCGCGACTCAAGTGCCTCGCCTACGGAAATGGCCCAACATGGCTGCCAACCCTCCCACGTAAATAAACATTAGATCACCCCTTGTTTTGTTGAATTAATATTTACAAAAACCACGATATATAGCTCTATACGTTATATATAATTTAGTGTTATAATTTGGTAATATATTTCGGGAAGAAAATTTGCAATATGTGAGCGAGGTTGCGGAAATCATAGTGACCAACCGCTCGTTATAACATTTGTAATAGTTTAATTGTCTTCTCGCTAACAAGACTTATGATGTATTGTATGACGGCATTTATCATGGATATATTAGCAGCGTTTATAAGGATTAGTTATTTTGAAGCCATAAATACGTAGGCGACAGTTTTCTCAGCAGATGTTAGAGTATAGAACTGCCCCTGACCCAAGTTTGGAATCTGACCCATGTTAGAACTTGGCCCATGTTCGAACCAGGTCAATATACTCACCTAGTTGTGCTTGCAGGGGTTGGGCTTCGGCTCCTTGGTCTCGCCTCTCAATCAACTGGCGTGCAGAATTCTGAGCCTACTGGGCTCTAACATATCTGCATTTGAAACTATGTATGGAGTTCACTGAAAAAGTTCTTTCTAATATTTCTATGGCTCATCTGGGTACTCAGTTTCCACCTGTGTTAAATAAATTGTCTTTACCCTATCAATTCCTTTGAGATTCTTGTATGTGGTGATTATGTCTCCCCCTAACTCTTCTTTCTTCCAGCAATGTGTGGTTTAGTTCCCGTAGTCTTTCCTCGTAGGTCATACTCCTGAGCTTGCGTACTAGTCTGATGGCATACTTCTGAACCTTCTCCAATTTTTTCCTGTGTTTGACAAGATACGGACTCCATGCTTGAGCTACATACTCCAGGATTGGTCTGACATATGTAGTATACAAGGGCTGAATGATTCCTGTTGGAATGTGAGCAGTGAGCTACTATAGGTAATTCACAAAATAGCAAAATTAGCCAAAATATCAAGCATGTGCTGGATAAGAAAATCACAGATGTTTAATTATTTATATATTTAATATAAAACACAGCATACAGTATTGCTACAATTTTAAAGCTAGTGTACAGAGTAAACATGATCTTGACTAGAAAATGTCTAAATAGACATTTAATAATGCCAACTAAAAATTACAATAATTTAACAAGAATAATCAATATAATGAAGTATAAGATTAATTAACATTTAGGTATACTGTACTGTAATTCATTGTGTCGGGGGACAGGCAGTCGGTGTATATACACACGTTATGCATATACTGGTACAGTATCAAGGTTCCCCGCACCCCAAGGTTGAACTATTGGCCCTGCCCAGGATGTAAACAACCCCCACAAGCCGACTAACTCCTGGGTACCTATTTACTGCTAGGTAAACAGGAGCATTTGGTGATAGGAAAAGCACAGAATCATTTCTGTGCTGCCCAAGATCCTGTAACATATGTTTACATATATGAGTTTGGGTGATAATATTAAAGAGTTTAGTGATTTTTATATTTATTTAATACAGTCGTGGTTACATCAGTTGGTTGTTGGCAATGTAATGGCATAGTGTGATAGGTGAGGTCTGGAGCAGGGAGCACAGAGCTCGAGTGAGGCCGGGGGTAGAGGGCTCGGATGCGGGGTGACAGCGCAAAGCATGGAGCCCAAATGCAGGCAGGGTCAGAGAGCTGGAATGCAGGACGAGAACTAGAAGGTTGTACGGCCAAAATCTGGCTGTTTGCTCTGCGACGAGGCTGTAGCGTCTTGAGAGAGGAGGAACTAGACTCTGAGTGCTGGTGAATAGCTGCTGGTGAATGTTACTTGGTAATGGAGATCTGCAGTATCTCTCTAGCATCTGTACTGAACCAGTTAGGCTGACGATGCTTCTGTTTTTGTGGCTTATATTACAAGCCTCACTTTGGCAAACTGACCAACATGTATTAGGCTATCTCTCAGCATCCTTGGCAATGGATGCTGAGAGAACTTGGGAAGATATGTCAATTATAACTGGTGGACCTAGGAATAATGTAGAACTTCTTGGAAAGTGGAATTCTTAAAGAAAGATTATATGGAATTAACAGGCATAGCTAATTAACTTATGAAATTAATGAGAATTAGAGCAAATTTATTATACCGAAATTCTCAGTATAATATCTGATGTTCTGAACTGAAAATTCGGAATAGAAAATTCTGAACCCAGAATTCTCTACTGTGGGTAAAGAACAAACGTAACTGTTCTACTGGAACTGACAATGATGCAGAGAAACAACACATGGAATTTCTTCAATCCCTACCCATTACTGTCCTGCCTGGGATTTATGATTGCAAGTTGAGAACAATCCTGCCTGTACTACCAGCACTTTATATGTTTATTCTTTATATAATTACTAAAGAAGCTGTGCCTCAGTTAGGTCTGTAAAGTGGCTGTGCCTCAGATGGCCAAGTAAAGATGCTGCACCTTGGCTGGCAGCTTTTCTATGATCATAGGATTTTTCTTTTAAAGCTAGCAAGAGCAAGATGGTGATTTTGAACAAAATGAGGAAGAATAAGAGGCAAGAAAGGTGCCCTATGAACTAGGGTCTATGCCAGAGTAATAACAAATTAATATTTAGCAATAAATGATTAAAACAAACACATCCAATCATGGTTTGTTTCCTACAATTATATTAGCAAAATTGCAAGTATTTTTTGTGCTTGGCTCTTGCAATGGCAAGAGAATATTAATCAAAATAAATGAATAGTATATAATGCACACTGCTTTGTTAAAATATCACATGGAACACATACAGTAGAAGAGGCAACAGCTTCAAACTCGAGTCAATGTAGGACAGAAAACAGATATACTTTTTCATCCAGAGCGTTAGAAACCAATGGAACTGTCTACCCACCAAAGCCATTAATGCCAAGACATTCTTTCAGTTTAAAATTGATCTGAAAAAAGTCCACTGGAAAAATGCTGGGGGAGGGGGGAGGGGGGTAACGCCTTTGACAAGTCATCTGCTTTCTCTCCCAGCGTGGCCACTGAATACATGTTTACCCTTGGATAAATTCAGGTAAAGAAATCATGAACATCCTCACTTCACAATGGCTCTAGTTCTAACCATTTACCATCCCCAATATTAGTCTTCTCTCCTCATGCCCATATATGCTGTCATGAACACTACCCTTTACACCCATTCTTCCCACACATCTCCCATACAACAACATTTAACATTATTTGTCAACTCTTTAAAAACCCTTTAAAATTACAACTGGCCAAACCCACTATATAACTGGAACATACAAACATTTGTTGTATCATGAAATTGTTTTATTTCACTATAATATAATGCCATTGTATGGAATAGTTAACAGTTAACTTAAAAGTAATAAAATATAAAAAAATTTAACAGGACATGTATGGAGATTATCATTATGAATTATCTACCCTGACTAAACAATATTGCTTGTAAATCAAATCATCATTATAAATGCTGAACATAGAAGAAAATCACAAAATCAGTCAAAGACCATTATCGACTTTATATGATAAAGCTACCAACACTATTTATATCACCTCCAGCTAAACTGGAGTCAACTTTTCTGCCAATCCTGGCAAGCTAAAACTAACTGGACTTTTTAAAATTAGAAACAAATTCAAAATTATTTTATGTATCAAGTGGCAGGTCATACAGAATAATCAATCAATCAATAATAATAATAATTGTATTATGACATTACTTTTGCCTTTGGTCAAGTGCTGGAACCAGACGCTACTTACCACTACCATATAATCAGTGGGAACTTTCTTCATGGGCTAAACCATGTAGCCATGTACCCGGCATGACACAGGCCGGGCACGGGTACATGGGCTAAAATGTGGATATATTGTAACACAACATAATATACCAACCCAGTAGTATTACATTATAATGTATTATCAAGCCATTACACAGTGGTGTATCTTTATAATGTTTCAATCAGAAACAGATGGATCCAAGCGAAAGAATTCATTTGTTTATGTACTTGTACCTTGGTAGTACAGTATATCTACTTTCTCTACCACTCTTTACACTATTTTATAATGATCCAGGACGGACTGAAACATTGTCATTCACTTTACTTTCAGATATGTGGATTGAGCATCTATTATATATATATATTCCATATAAACAATATATTACTAGCATTATATTTTAACAATATACTGTATATAATTCTGTATATAATATATAAACTATATAATCCTATCTAAAATACAAAATATTCAACACCAGTGTTTCCCAAAGATAAAAATAGCATTTCTTTCTTTCGTACATCATGCTTCATAACAAACACAGTAGCACCGAATTAGATCAAATCTAAATACTGTACAATATTCTGGCCACTGATCATTCAAATGTCTAAGTGCCAATGACTTGACAGAACTGCTGCAAGGAAATGACAGACAGTATAAGGGATGCCACAAGGAGTCTTGCATAAGCCTGATCCTGCCTTCACAAATTTACTACAAAATAATAATTTATATTTACAATTATGAGAGATTTTCCAAAGTGGTTTCGAGGAAAACAGCACCCGAGCTGAAGTCCTTCCTGATGAACCCTTCACATACTATAAAGTGTGTGTATATCACGAAAATCAACACGTGATTAAAAATGTGACAGTGTCAGACCACGGAGGAAAATTGAAACGGGAATTTCCTCAAGTACTTTCGTATATTAATACATCTTCAGAAGGAGTGGTCTGACACTGTCATACTATAAAGTGTACAGGTGACCCTTCTTCTATACATTTTGGAGGATGCATATTAGTAGTATATGTAGGTACACTGTATGCACTTTGATCAAGTTTCTAAATGTGAAAGTTGTGTGTGATAATGTAAAATTGCGCAACCGATCATTTGAGTTTTGCTTCCGACATGTGTTTTGAACTTTTTGGATTCTATTACATAATTGCTGCACATTTTGTGCACTGGCATTCATTGTGCTATATATGTGACTAATGTGGTAGAAGTCTTAAATATTAATGAACTTTATTGAATAAAGAGAGTGCAAGTCTTTGGTACCTAACCCCATACTTCCCAATGTAACCTCCATAAAATAATACAAAATAGTGGACTGTGGTGCACCAAAAGACCACTTTTGGACTACGGGGTTTAGAGGGCTTTTAGAAGGATGATGCAAATCTAACCTAAACTCTCATTGGCTTAATACATGTGTACAATATTATTCCTACGATTGCATATAATATGTTTAGGATTACAGATATTAGGCCTAGGAGTGGTTAGGTTATTGCATTTTTTCTTTAGCCTTAAGTTTAGGAAGGCTTTTACAGGAACAAAACTCCTGTAAAAATTGAGGGTTATCTGTGTATATATAATTTATGTAGATCACTGGATATGAATGTTAAGCTGATCAGCCAGGTTAAGCACTGATGGGCATCGACCCACTGAACAGGTCACTGCAGGGTTGTGACCTCTGCCTTGACTAGAAATAAATTTATTTGGTAAAATTTGGATGAGGCCTTATTCAATAGTAAAGTGATAAAAGTGCTGACCATTAGATTATTATTTCCAAGAAATGTTTTCCATTACATCACTTAATATAAATAGTTTTAAAAACTGATGTAAAAACCTTTTCAAACATTCACCTGATCAACATAATGCCCAAAAATTTGAATTATAAAGTTCATACCCAAGGTATTAAACAACTTTCAATAATGCAATAAATACAGTACTAACTAACAGTGACAGACAATAAGGGCAACAGACAACTGACATGGGTTGCTATATTTGTCTTAGTGCAGAATCACACTGTACACAGCAATTTGAATTATGTCTAAACTTATAAAAACTGAACACTGCTGCATTTTCTCCCCATAGCATGCACGTATTTCATGTCATTGGAGTGCAGTGATATCTCTGAATTACATGATATCTATCAATGCTCAAAAATACATCTAAATCAAACTGGTAAACCAAAGAAAATACTGAGCTTGGCAACTTTCACAGACATTTCTCTTGAGCGTCAACTTTTACAAATCTGAACTTGCTAAAGGTCTAATGTTTACAGTACCCTTTAATTCAATATTATCCAGTACAGGCTTCCCTTGCTAAATGCCTTGTTAGCAGTTGTCGGCAGCTTGCCCATCATCTCGTGAATGAAACATCTTGGCAAAAATACTGACAAAAATTATGACTAAACCATACATCAGAAAATCAAGAAACTACGACATTTGGGTCTGTCGTGACCCATTATCACGTCGTTGTTTCTTCATTTTCTGATGTGAAATTTAGTCATTATATCTTCACCGACGATATTGTGACTCATTGACTGAACTAAAAAAAATCATAAACTCTAGTAGAAAATGCAAAACCATCCAATTCCTGATTAACATGGAAACTGAACTGCCATGAATAAATTAATTAAAATAAATTCTAATGCTTAGGTGAGTCAGACGAGAACCTTCCAATAGTTTAAAATGAAATTATTCTTCACGTGACAACACTAAACCTGAACATGCATTTAGCTATTTTATAAATTAAACTTTATGGTTCTTAGCACTCAAAATTATAAACAAGGATTTATATGAGTACAGTACTATAAACTTTAACTAAGCAACTGTTAATAACCAATTGATTACAAAGTTACTTTCCTTGTGTTATAGTCGCCTGCCGACTCATGCAGTTAGAGTTTCGAAATGAGAACAGGCTTCCTGATGCAGTACAGGCCATATTCAAGGAAGTTCTGCCAGGTTTCCAAAGACAGTTCACATTTACTTTGAAGTTCTTGTTTACCTCCTGTGAAGGAATTGAACCTGAGTGGAAGGTACATTGTGCAAACTGCAAATAATAAAAAGCTCATTCTCCTTCATTTACCCTGAACCATCTGTTAATTTTATGTTGACAGCCATTCTGAAGCTCTATGAAAAGCATTAAAAAGAAGCCAAGGCAGATGCATATTTATTTAATACGACCTATGCAATTGTCAAGGCCCGTGTTGGTTTGTTAAGAGAAAGGGGGCGAGAGTCAGACAGAATGATAGTCAGTATCCCACCCAACCATAGCTTTCCCTTTACCATGCAGTCCATGCACCATTTTGTCTTGCTGGATCTCTAGGTAAGGTACATATTTGTTGACCACCTCACCCTCTTTACCTGTGAAGGAAGAAGTACTCTTAGCCTAAATACTTGTAATATGACAATGTCCAGCAAACCAATCTATAGTTAACATAATTTTTTTGCACTTAAATTTCCCCCAAAAAGGCCATACTGCAAAGATGATACAATAGTGCAAAATACATAGTTTTCACAAGTGCATTGCTTCTACAAGTGAATAGTTTTATGAATGTACATAGTTCGCTCCAAAAGTGTATAATTTTCATAATTTAACAGCTATTATTTTGTAAGCATGTGAAGAACTTTTAAAATTTTCCCTTACACTAGACAGAGTTATACCAGAGGCATCCAGATGGTTATTCAGCATATGAGCATCCAGGCGGTTATTCAGCATATAAGCATCCAGGCGGTTATTCAGCATATAAGCATCATGGCGGTTATTCAGCATATAAGCATCATGGCGGTTATACAGCATATAAGCAATAATGTAAATAGCTTTCATAGCAATTTAGCATTTCATCATGATCTAAAGTTAAATAGAATTAAAAGACCTTCTCTAAAATTTTCCAAAATTCATACAATTCAACAAAGAGCATGTCAAAGTCAAAACAAACAATAGATAAAAGGCATTATTAAGTACATTATCTTCACATATGAAGAATCAATGTTTCTCTTGCATTTCAAATTTCACAGCCAACCAGATTCACAGCACGAGAGATTCAATTAAAATCAGAAACCAATATACTGTACTGTACATTAGTGCAATATCACATCTAATTTGAATGTTTTATGTTCAGTTATGTATATCTATCCAAGAAGCTGTGAGAGATATGTACAAAACACTACTAATATGTATGCAGAGTCGGAGAATCAGAAACATTGAATTTAAACCGAGAGTGCACAGTGAACTTTAATATTAACTAAGACGAGGCAAGTCATGCATTTTCCTGATTTTCCTGAAAATTCAAAACATTACAAGCATAGGGATTTTCCCAACAAATCTGGGTACAAAAATGTACCTCTGATTTAAGATCCCGCATAATAATGCACCGCTCTGGTAACAAGTTACAGGTAAACAATCTTTGACTAAAATATTTATGTAATAAGTACTGCAAGCAATAGTCAAATATGCATCATTATATTACTTGACAATATAATATACTTACCAATGTTTTTTGCAATGAAATTTAACATCAATCTGTTGTTAATATCCATTGCCGTCTGGGGATCGAGAGGGGAGGAGGCACCGGCAAATACTCGTCCAATGTGTCCAACCAGAAATGGCGTGTCGCACTGGTTTTGATGTACAGTTCCTCTGAGTGAAAATTAGCAAGTACTTTACTCTAAAAGCTTTTAACATTTCAAAGCTGTGCATGATTGGAATACTTCTATCTGCTGCAGTTTAGTTTTAAAAATCATGAGTAGCAGTCAAGTACTGTACTCGTTTTAAAAATCAAGTAGTCATGCATTATTTTTAACTTATAAAACATGACATTCAATTGTATTTTACCCAACCTACCTGGCTACAAAGATTAATCACAGGAGTGAACATAATAGCTAATACAGATAATTAAGAGTGAACCAAAGAGTGCTGGGCAGAAAGCTAACTCTCAAAAGATGGGTAAGCACACATTATGGATGATAGAGTCAACATATTGTTATATGACAACATAACTTACTTGATTGTGACAAATGCAGTGGTAGCTGGATTTAATTTACCCATAGCCTGAAGATTTGAACTAGATTGAAATGCCTCTGTCGATATACATAATAGAGGCTGAGTGACTTTTGGGCAAATCTCATCCACATCTTCCTTGATCGGGAACAGCCATGGGTCAAGTGCCACACCAACTCTGAAAAAAAAAAACAAATAATGAGCATGAGCTATTAAAAATCAAACCAGACCACATACTACACATAAAGTATTCGCAACAAATTACAATAAATTTTGAAAACAACTGCTGGGAACTTCAGGCATTTTAAGCAGATTTGGGGTTCTGATTAGTGACATGAGCTGTACATGTTGCAAGCAGCTAAGGAACACTACCAAAATATTCACATAAATATAACAGCCATGATTTGCAAATAAAAGCTTAATTAAACTGAACAAAAATATATTTTTTGACAAGATTTATACAACAATCACCTTCTGCTTACTTGAATCTCTTGTCTTGGGCCAGAGTAGATATGGCAGTTACTCCTCCAAATGAATGCCCAGTCATAACTGGATGGGACAGGTCAAGATGATCCTGTAGTTGCTGTAGGTTGAAGTTTGAAGCCAGTTCATTTTTCACAGTACCGTTGTTGAGCTTCTCCAGAACATCTAAAGCCCGAATACTTTCTGCAACCCGAATTTTGATCTAAAACAAGAAAAATTAATAACAGTACATCACTTAAAGTGTTTAAAAGTGATCTACAAGGACAGGGAAGATGATGAAAGTTTATAAAAGTTTAGAAAACAAGGAAGAAAATTGGGTTGTGATAAGTATGAAGTTTAATGATAGGGAATGAAAAATTAATTGGAATAATAATCAAATGGAATAGCACATGCTAATTAAGGAGCCCAAATCAATTTAGTTATTATTTTCTTATTTTAAAGCCAAGATTTGTAGCTACCATCTGAGCTTTATTTGAAACAAATTTGTCAACTAAGTATTTTATTGATTTTGTTTGTGGCAAGAAAATCTTTCAACAATGGTCAGTAGACCAGTACTATATTGTTTCATATATTTTTTGTTTTTGCTTAGTAAATTCTTTCCAATGCCTTGCATTTAGTTAAAAGTCATATATGTAGTGTAATTCAAATAGACTGTCGAGGATTTGTGATGCTGCACTTTTTGGCAGAAAATTCAAATCTCAAAACACTTACTTTTATGTTTTTTCTATTTAAATTTGTTGGCATTCACCCAATTTTGATGAAATTTTCATAATACACCTTGTTTGTTGTTGTTTAGATTCAGCTACTCGGAACAAAAGTTCCAAGTAGCACGGACTATGATGAGCCCGTAGTGGACAACATTGGTGCATTTCTTATACAGTATTTGAATTTTTTGCTTAACCCCTGCACTGCACACCTGTTTTAGGCAAAAACTTCAGAGTGCAATTGTTAAGGACATATTTTTGTTGTTTTTATAAATGTTCAAGGAAAATTAATGTCAAAATGTTTTCAAACTCAACTATTTTCATTTCAAATCACAAAGAGTGATGAAAACATTAAAACAAACTTTAAAATATAGCCTAATTAAAAAAAAATTGGACAACTCTCAAAACAGCATTTGTCGTTCGATGCAGTGCAGTGGTTGAACTTGGCTTTTAGTAACCATGGAAAGCAAAGATATGTAAATCTGAAAACACCATTCTAGAATAAAGTGCATTTGAACATGCACTGCAAGACAGGAAGAAATGTTCTTCCTTATGATCAATGAATCACTTAAATTCATCAAAAAATGAACTGTACCTGCTGATTACGAAGTTGATATTCTTTAACATCAAGTGAAGTGGATTTGAAGAGCAAATATTCTTTTTCGCCAGAATCAGTCAATGTGAAGCTCGCACTTGCTGATCTGTCCCTGAAATGATTGAAAAAAATTGATTACAATCCAATCTCTGTCCTTGAAATGACAACAGAACATACCAGTATGATGATAATACATTATACTGTATAGGGCTTTACATATCAGTCATAAACATTGTTTGGTAAATCATTATTCTAATGAATAGAAAAGAATAAAGTTATTACTAGTTTTTATTAAACTAGTAGCTTTTTGTCTACTCAAGACTCAACAGTAACAAAGTTACTGTTGTTACTGTACAAAGTAAGTTATGTTAGGTCACATTTGTTAGATAGTTTAGAACATTTGAGTATATACTGAGAAAGGGAAGAGTCAACAGCAACAAAGCCAGAACTTAGGTTCATGTTGGGTAGGTTGTGTATCAGCCTACACTTGAAACAATCATTTTAAGTGTAGGCTAGACTTTCCTACAAGGCCGAGAAACCCTGATACACAACCTACCCAACATGAACCTGAGTTCTGGCTTTGTTGCTGTTGAGTCTTCCCTTTCTCAGTATATACTCAAATGTTCTAAACTATCTAACAAATGTGACCTAACATAACCCTACCTTTCCTTTCAGCTTTCTTTTGTTTTCTCTTACGATCCCTTTCTTATTCTTATTATTACTCCCTTTGTTACACCTTACCTTCCGTACGTTTTGCCACGGTGTTACCTTCCTCTAAGATTTCCATCTCCCCACCTCTCTCTTGCCTACTTAATGCCCTTGCCTCCCTTGTCTCATCACAATTGACTTGATAATGGTCCAGGACGGACCAAAACGTCGTTGTCTCTTCAATTTCTAGAATGTGGTTTGGTCAACATTTTTCAGTCACATTGTGACTCATCATCTGCATCCCAGTTTTCCTATGGGTTACTCATGCCCATGTCACCTCCTAGGTGGCTCAACCTTCTTCATCCCTGTTTATAATTTTCTAGCTACTTTCTAATCTAGTCCAGTATCTTCCCAGTTACCAGCCTGCTTTTCCAACTTTTGTAACAGCCTTCTGGCGAGATGTGTTAAAGGCATTTTACAATTGCATTTAATTATCATGAACATAGTTCCATGTCAACAAGTAAAGGGTTCCATGGTACTGATTTCATGTATACCTCCTTTTATTTCACCAAGGTGTTGCTGCAGAGTGTGACCAAAGAATGGTACAGAACCTTCTGAAATTCCTTTTATGTTTTTATTTTGCACCAAGGCCAACTAGTGCAAGACCTGGACAAGAGTGATTATTTTTTACTTCATTTACAAAATAAAAAAAGCATTCTGTATATTTACCTGTGTTCAATTGCTGCCACAATAAATCCATGAGAGGCAAGCTCAGAGCAAATAGTGCTGTATATAGAACGATTTGCACTCAGTCCATGGGAAAATATGATTACCCCAAACTTTCTGTCAGCCACAGGTGCTTCCCATACTGCCGGGGTCGCTACACCACCTGTAAATGAAAACAATATGTTCACCAAGTAACAGTTAATCAGACAAATTGTGAGAAAATTATTACAGCATGCTAATAATTCAATAAACTTACCAAGTAAGGCAAAGATTCAAATAAACACCAGATTATTTGAACAGGTTGACCCAATTTCCTAGTCATTTCCATGAACTGGGAAATTAAACCTGGGATCTGAGGCCCAAATCTGAGACCCGAGAAAACAAAGGAAAGCTATTAGACTGTATGAGATGCTAGAGGCAATAAACTTAAAATATCCAATTGTCAAAACTATGGATTTTAAGAGCTGCTATTGCCACACTTCTTTTCTTGTATGTTTAAAATTAGTCATTCATAAAACTATCTGAACGTACCATTTGAATGCAGTATGTATACTAATTAACAATTTATCAGTTTGTTAAACACCAATGCACAAAGATTAACGTGATCATCAATTAAGTGCCAAAGTGCACATAGTAGCAATTATCCTAGAGAAACTGTTCAGAACTCAAAATGACATACTTACGCATTTGCCAGTTAAACAGCATTCCAAAGAGTGATGGTATAGAAGGTGCGATGAAGGTGGCCAAGCCTCGCGTGTACTCTTCTCCCAGGTACCACGGCGTCCACTCTTCAGAATGGCTCTGCACATATTGGATTTTATTAGTACAGGTAATTTAAATTTTATTGAGAAATTTATTAGAATTAAAAACTACATTTGAAATACCTGTACAGTATTGTAAATATAATTTGAAATTATATTTATAATTTTGATTGTAATTATTGTAAAACTAAATTTTTTTTTATATTACCATGAGGTCTGTGAGTTTTGATGGGTAGTAGACTCTCATAAGCGTTCCTTCTTTTGTTCGGCCAATCATGACATCGGTGCAGCCAACGACAAATGGCCCTAAAAATAATAGAAGAACTGTAAATGGGTCTTAAAATAGAGCTTCCTCTAAGAAATTTACACACTGTATGGTAAACTCTTCATTATTGAGGTTGGTGTTGACTTTAATGACACTTTGCATCCAGGAATGCAAGTGCATATAGGCAGGCATCCAGGAATGCAAGTACATATAGTCAGGCATCCAGGAATGCAAGTACATATAGTCAGGTATTCAGGAATGCAAGTAAATATAGTCAGGCATCCAGGAATGCAAGTACATATAGTCAGGTATTCAGGAATGCAAGTACATATAGTCAGGTATTCAGGAATGCAAGTACATATAGACAGGCATCCAGGAATGCAAGTGCATATAGGCAGGCATCCAGGAATGCAAGTACATATAAACAGACATCCAGGAATGCAAATACATATAGTCAGGCATCCAGGAATGCAATTAAATATAGTCAGGCATCCAGGAATGCAAGTACATATAGTCAGGTATTCAGGAATGCAAGTACATATAGACAGGCATCCAGGAATGCAAGTACATATAGTCAGGCATCCAGGAATGCAAGTACATATAGACAGGCATCCAGGAATGCAAGTACATATAGTCAGGTATTCAGGAATGCAAGTACATATAGTCAGGCATCCAGGAATGCAAGTACATATAGTCAGGTATCCAGGAATGCAAGTGCATATAGACAGGCATCCAGGAATGCAAATGCATGTAGAATGGCATCCAGGAATGCAAGTGCATATAGACAGGCATCCAGGAATGCAAGTACATATAAACAGACATTCAGGAATGCAAGTACATATAGTCAGGCATCCAGGAATGCAGTACATCCTTAAAATTTACTGATACAGTACCCCCTATTTTACTACAACTTTTACCATTCACATTTTTATGCTAATCCCATTTTAGCCACCTTCATATTGATATGTAAATAAATTTATTTCCATCTTAACATTACCTTGTGGAAGAGGTGTGTGGTTTGTAAATTTTGAACCCGTTTTCCCTGCCATTGTATCCATGGAGTGCTGTGGATTGAAAACTAACGAGACCGGGAATCGTGACGTCCCGATCCAAAAGCAGTGTGTGTGTAGACCTGCGGAAGTCAAAAGATATGTCAAGTACTCTACTATACAAATTAATTAGTAATATGCCAAGCTGAAAATATGATAAAAAAATAAAATAAAAATCCATTATCTTGGCAAGCTCCCTGTTTTGTTTACTTGGAGGTATGTTCAGCTGAAGTTGTGGACATGTTATCACTGTTATCAGCCACCAATGACCTATGGTACTTTCACCCTGCCAAAGGTCGCAAACTGATAAGAAGGTATCTACTGTGCCATGAACAATGACATGTTTTTCCTCAAAGCTAATATTACACACAATACTTAATATAAACATGTATACAGGTAGACAACAAAAATAATGAGAGAGAAGAATGGGTAATATATATATATTATGTTAGTTTCAGATACTGTACTGTACGTATATAGTTATAGTCAATAGTTTGTGTTATATGATAAAGAGTGCTGGGAAGATGGGACACCACAAGCATAGCTCTCATTCTGTAACAACACTTAGGTAATTACTTAGGTAATTACAGCCTTCTGGGATGAAATATACTCTGACAATCTGTATAAGAGTTCTGAAACTGTCAGAACCTTAACAAAGGCTACCTACTGATGAAGTTTAGATATATGAGGTATATAGAGAAGTACTTTTTTGTGGGGTTGTGGATAAGTGGAGTGGGTAGTATTAGAGAGCTTATCAGGTTTCAACAATAGATTGGATTGGTACAGTGACAGGATGGATTAAGATGGAACCTGCCTTGTACCCTATAAATAAAAATAATTAAATATAATTATTATTTTTTTTTTATTTATTATAACCTGCTTAGTTTTATTTTATTTATTTTTTTATTTATAGATACAAGAGTTCTTACATTCTTGTACAGCCACTAGTATGCCTAGCATTTCGGGCAAGTCCTTAGTCCTATGTTCCCTGGAATACGACCCCCATATATGTATGGGGGTCAACCCCATATATGCGTGGGCCATACATATATGGGGTACAAGCATACTTTTGAGTACTGTATATACATATGCAGCAAACATATATACAAGAAAATATGCATACAAGAGAAACACCTGGGTGTATTCATGCATGGGAAACATGTATATGAACATGTTTATAGGTAACCATGTATACCTGTGAGTATGTGCACATGTGGGCAATATATGGATACACACACATGGGTAATATGCCTATGCCTATGGATTTTGGTGTGTGAATGTGAGGGCAACAAACATACATACATAATATATATACAGTATATATATATATACATACATACATACATGTTAGGCTTACAGTATATCAAGGTCCCCCTTCCCTTCCCCTCACCCCCCGAGTCACATTAATGACCCTCCCCAGGCTGCAGCCCTACAACAAGCTGACCAACTCCTGGGTCAAGGGATTGACCCAGGAGTTGGGTCAATCCAACTCCTGGGATTACTCCTGGGTAATGAGTGAACAGACTCATTAGGTGATAGGAAAGCCACCCAATCATTTTTGTCCCGCCCGGGATTCAAACCCAGAATTCCCGATTGGGAGTCAAGAACGAACGCAACTGACACTACCAGACACTACATACAGTTGCCCACAAGACATTGAGGGCAATACCCGCAAGACACTGAGGGCAATACCCGCAAGACATTGAGGGCAATACCCACAAGATGAACAAAAAACCTATTTCAAATGAGATGGAAACTGAGAGGCAAGGAAGAATACCTTTGTGGCAAGTTGAATGACCTGAGGGTAGAGGCACTAATAGGCCAACTCCAATCACAGTATAAAAGTAACTTTTATATTAAACAAAATGAATTGCTTTCCCATTCATTTACACAAAAGCATTTTCAACTGGTTTCTAAACTGCCTAATTACAAAGTTCACAATGAGGTGTGTGCACACGATGACCGCCACTGCCAACTGCCGGTTGAATGAGACTGACTGGGTACACGTCTGATACGTTGCCAACTAGGTGTAATACTAATCACGCTGGCCACTCAGGGTAAGATAAACATGGAAGATAAGCTAAATTATGACATATTAGAGGTGTATAATTTAACAAATATACAAGAGAACCTGCTTGCAGATACTGTACTTCTAAAACAAAAAAAATAAAAAAAGAGCACCATTAAGAAAGCAAAAACTTAATATAGTGACTTGACATACACTGATTACTTGCCAATACATCAAAATGGAGCTATCGTAAAGTCCAGGGCCATCTGTCGAACAATGGCCGGGACATGATAAGTCACGAAAGCAGATAACAATGATACGCCCCTCACAATAACATGTATAACAAGGACACTAAGTGATGTGACAAAGATAAGACTGATAATGAAGGTAAATAAATATATCTGGAGACTGATATACTTACAAAATGAAATTGTATAACACTTATCTCTAGAAGGAAAGAACCACAGAGAGCAAATGAAAATACAAAGTACTGCATAATACTGTATGTACATGACAACATTACAAAATTTAAAACACAAACAAAAATAAAATAAAAAATCACATGAACATTGTTTTTTCTGCTTCATTTACAATGCTCAGAGCAACAACTAATAACATCCCTAACTGCACAGAACAGTTGCTAGAACAAGAACACTTGATGACTGAACAATAGTTATGAGTGGCATCAGTGAAATGGTATTTCATGAGTAAATCAAAATGAGGTTGGTGAACCACAAGGATATTAGTTAACCAGTTATACCTTAGAAAATTAGTGCAGCAAGACATCAGTCAACCAATCAATGTGATATCTGTAAACTGCATTGTCATTAGTCGAGCTACAGTTGTGCATGCTACGGCAAAAACAAAACAGAATAGCTGACAATAAGTGCTGGGTTATGAATGCTAGCCATATCAATGAATAAAAGATAACACAGTAAAACATATATCATAAAGCACAGATCTGGAGTGCATCACATAAAACTTCTAGCAAGCTTGCTAGTCACAAACACAAAATCGGTGCATCCAAGGACAGGCAATACGGCAAAGCAAAGGACAAAGAGCATTACAGATAAGGTAACTTCAGTGAGGTATCTGTACCCACCACCTGTATGGTCACACCTGCCTTCAGTTAATAGAGCCTGAAAATATAAAGTGAGTATTATAAAAGTGAAGAGCAGGAGTAAGCTTGAGGAATGGTCTAATCAAAGGGCAATACTAGCTGAGTTTATTTCCACATCAACTTGTATGGTTATGTTGATGACAGTATGAAAACCATACTGTCAGTATGGTTTTATTGCTAGTTAAATAAGTTACAACTGTAAAATAGTAAATGTTGTTTTGTACTAAATTATGTAAATCTGCCTTCCATAATGTACTTAGAAAATTGGTGATGATAGCTAATAATGGCACATTAGTTTCCATCAGGCAAACTACCATATAATTCCAACAAGATGTAACAGATACACCAGAGTTTCAGATTTTATGCGAGACTAATTTCCAAATCATCAATGGTTATAATTATAAGGACAAACATTTGCCAAAAACACTGCTCTTATAATACTATATAGATGCAATTCTGCAATGACATCTATACAATATACAGTTTATTTTGTTAGCAGTCTTTCTTGTCGACATATGTTGTTGAATATGACCGAAAGGGTAAGATTAATGATTCTACCACAAATCTTCTCAATATTTCTTATGTTTTTCTTCACTGTCGAGGGTAGTTGAAAAATTAACCCTCCGAAGTTCAGTTTCACACTTTATTTATAGTCTGACACCTAGAAGCATTTCGCAAGACACTTCTTAAATTTTCAAAGAATTTTACATACTCTGCCAATGCTTATATTCGCTTGGGGTGAGGTGATACATGACATGATTGAGATGAACAAGTGAATCAATGGGTACACCATTACATGTTTTATCTTCTTGCTTCTGTGTTGGTTTGGGGTCTTGAAGTGGGTTGAATGTAATTATGTATTAATTGGCTGTTGATTGTTGGTTTTGACTTTTTGATGTGTAGGGCCTCGCTGATGTTGATTTTCCTGTTGTCGTTGTATCTGTCGATAATTTCTGTGTTGCTTCTTATGATTTCTCTGGTGATGGTCTGGTTGTATGAGGAGATTATATGCTCCTTGATGGAGCCCTGTTGCTTATGCATTGTTAATTGCCTAGAGAGAGAAGTTGTTGTCTTGCCCATATACTGAGATCTTTGGGGCTGACAGTCCCCAAGTTGGCATGTGAAGTCATAGACGACGTTGGTTTCTTTCAAGGTGTTCTGTTTGGTGTCTGGAGAGTTCTTCAAGAGTAGTTGGCCAACCTACTCATGAAGAACCCAATTAACATATAATTACATTCTACCCACTTCAAGACCCCGAATCAACACAGAAGCAAGAAGATAAAACATGCACTGGTGTACCCAGTGCATGTGTACCCAGATTCACTTCTTCATCTCAATCATGTCCTGTATCACATCACTTCAAGTGAATATAAGCACTGGCAGATTATGTAAAATTCATGGGAGACATCTCCCGCCACGCAGGGTGCAGTCGCACCTCGACAGATCTCCAGCATCAGCTCTTGATACTGGTAATGGCTCAAAAGGGCCACCACTTACGGGCGTTTCATGCCTGTGCCACCTTTTGGGTGGCTTAATCTTCATCAACCAATCATGTAAAATTGTCTTTGAAAATGAAAAAAAGTATCTTGCAAAACGCTTCTTAGCATCAGACCATAAATAAAGTGTGAAAATGAATACTGGATTGTTAATTTTTCAACTACCCTCTTAAATGAAGAAAAACATAAGAAATATTGAGAAGATTCATAGTAGAATCATTAATCTTACCCTTTCACTCATATTCAACAACACAATATACAGTATATGTATATATAGCAATATTTTCCATGTGCCAAATATATATACAGTATTATAGAAATTACTAGATGGATGGGATACCTGATATGCACCCAGGTCTCTCTCTCCCCCCAGTTCTCCTCCTCTGTCCCCTCCATGCTTCCCCCTCTCTCTTATCAATCTTCCCCCTCCACAACTCCCTCTCTCTTTCCCTCTCCACACCCCACTCTCTCATCACTTTTCTCCCTCCTCTCTTTCCTCCTCCACACCTCTTTTTCATGTCTTTTACCCTCCCATCTCATTTCTTTCACCCTCTCTCTTCTCTTCCCTTATGCCCCACTTCTTACAATCTCCTCCCAACACACATATCATTCCAATCCCCCCCCCACACTCAAACCCACATTCTCCCCCATCCCCCCACCCACACATTTCAAGCTGCATAAGAGTCACTGTTTGTCACAATAGGAGCAAATCCTACTTAGAAATAGGCAGGGGGGTGGGGGCTTGATCCCTAGCACCAACTCCTAAGGGGTTGGTCCCTAGATCTCTATGGGATTGATCCCTAGTGTGTCACCAATGACACACTCCAAACAATCACAATTTACCATGGAAAGGTGTGTGTGAGGGTAAAAGCACAAGTTTGGCCTCAAACCTTGGACAGAAATAGTCACTCTTACATATACATATGCAAGAGTGAAACATATGTATGTAAGAGTGATACATATGTATGTTAGAGATACATACATATACAGCCATGATTATGAATATCTCTTTGTATATGCAGTGTTCAGAGCTTCATATAATTCCCTACTAACAATGTATCCACTGAGAGATACCAGTTAGCCACTAACAACATATCCACTAAAAAAAATGACATTTGGCCACTAACAATCCATGTATCCACTAACGGATATCTTGTCCCTTAGACATGGGACCTCGGTCCATGGAAAACATCCTTTCATGCAAATAAGACTCCTTGTTAACCCTTACATTGCAGTGGTTAACAAGATAATCAAAGGCTACTTCTGCCAGCAACCTGGACTTAAAAGTTCATTGATAAGAGTTCCCCACAAGATACGGTTCCAGAAACTAGAACACACAGCACGACGGGTACACACAGGGTACATGTAATACCCACAAGCAGGGTGGGTACTACATTCCATTTTCCACAAATGTAACTACATTGTTATATAAGATTCCATTGTATTTTCATTGTCATATTGAATTTCTTAAGTTCAAAAAGATAAAGTTAAAACAGAACCATTAAAGCCAAAATTGAATGTTGCCTGTTGTACGTGTTGCCTGATACCAATCTAACCCACAAAGTCTCCATGGTGCCAAAAAAGATCTTGTCTCTGTTAGCCCCAATATGCATGACCAAACATACAAATCAGATAAGGCATATCAATACTGACAAATATGTCCCCAGTAAATTACATGGTCCCAAATAAATACCCATGTGTACATCTATCTAAAAATAAATGCACAGATGAACTTTTCTAAAACAAATTATATATTTTATATCTAAATTGTCTGTACTGTACTCTTGATACCTTAAACCCAAGCTTTACCATTTCAATGCAATTTACTATATTCATTAAAATAACTAAACCAATTTTGTTTGTATTATAATAACTAAAATATGGACATTTCTGCATAAGAATAAATGAAATTATAGATGGTCTTTTGCTGATGTGAGGCAGCTCCAGTCTTTATCCAACCAAACTCATTCATAAGCTAAAACATTTATATTTACTTTGTGATACTATACTATCTATTTTGTGTTACTACATTTAACAGCTAGTTAATATTCCCCTTCATTCACTTGTATTCTTTAATCATGTCACTTCTTACTCTCTGCCATTGTAGAGACCATTAATTAAGTTTAATTTCTAGGGTAGTACAGTTGATTCTTTACCCACAGCTGGGAATTCCGGGTTCAAATCCCTTGCCAGTGGGGAAGGAGGAGACAAATGGTTGAGCACATTTCCTATCACCTAATGCCTCTGCTCACATATCAATCAGCCCTGTGAGACTACTTACAACAGTTACTCAACTCATACTTAAAAAGAGTGTGATTATCATTTACAAGCCCAGTTTTCTCTAATAGTTTATCATGAGACTCCATACCCTCCCTACTGGTGAGTGGCAGAAAAGTTGCAGTGCCACATACTGCA